AGACATAATACAGTTCTCTATATTCTCCATATTAACTTTACTATTCTTTTTTAATTTTTTTAAATGTTTTTTTATTTCTGAGGGAGAGAGAGAGTGTGAGCAGGGAAGGTTCAGAGAGAGAGAGGGAGACACAGAATCTGAAGCAGGCTCCAGGCTCTGAGCTGGCTGTCAGCACGTGGGGGCTCGAACCCATGAACCGTGAGATCATGCCCTGAGCCGAAGTCATAGGCTTAACCGACTGAGCCACCCAAGTGCCCCTAACTTTACTATTCAAACACTAGAAAGTGGGTAGCAATTTAGGGAGTGTGAAAGGGGTAAACCTCAGAAACACTTTTCTACCATGTTTACTCTACACTGTGTATGGCTGTGTGCTCACTTCTCCACTGCACAGAATTCAGCTGTATATAAAACCGAACTTGGTCAGAAGTGAAGGAGACCAGAAATGATAGGCCGACAGCCTGGTGCACTATCAGACAATTCAAACGATGATAGTACAGCTACCGGCTTGTAATTTTTAGGCCCCGCAAATAAGGCTTTCTCTTGAAGTTGAACCAAAACCAGCTTCTGTTCCTTAGGCTCTATAATACGTACATGAGGAGGTTCAAAATTTGGTCTCTACCAGTTACCAATGCGGTCAGCAGTCACCCAGTCTGGCAGGACTCCGTCTTGAGGACCAGCATTTTAGTCTTTCAGTTTCATCTTCTGGGTTAAGTTCGCCACCAGAACCCATGAACAAAGTCGTTCCCAGCTGATAACAGTGACAAGTGGGGTGGCTGGTGCCCACATACCTCCTCACAAGGATGTTACTCACCCCCTCCCTCGTGCACTGAGAGCTGGCCACTACCACGCTGTCCTCCAGGACAACAGGCTGCCGGCCCAGCCCCGGCCTCTTCCTCTCAGCACAGGGGACCTCTCCCGGCCTCTCTGACCTGCTCGTGCCTCATGGCTTCACAAGCCCCTGGTTTTTCTCCTGCCTCCCTGGCTGCTCCTCCTTGGCTTCCTTTCTGGCTCCTTCCCTGCTTGTCTCTATATGCTGAGGGCCCCAGGGTTCTACCGTCAGCTTTCTTCTCCATCATGTAGTATGACATGCATGTAGAAAAGTGTACAAAACATAAAGCAAGACCATTTCTCCATCTACCTTCTTTCTCCAATGACCCGAGGCCGTCACTGGGACCTTGAATCCCACTTTTAAGCTGTTGGTGCCCAGGTCCATATTCCCAGCCCTGACGCCTACCCTGGAGTCTAGACTTCCTTCTACCTACTCACGTCTCTTCCTGGCACCCAAAAGGATCCCACGCTGAACACATTCAGGCAGCCAACCCCACTGTCGGTGGAGGGCGCCACCGCTCGGTTGGTTGGTCGCAAACCTCCCAAGCCGTCCTTTATTCCTCTGTCCCTTGCCCTGCAGCCACTCTGTTAGCCTCCGGTGCATGTCCCGAGTCAGTGCTTTGGAGACAGTGAGGTGACTGATGGGTGGTCCCTTCTGTCTCTAGCTCTTCTAGCCTTCCTTCATTTTCGTCTTCACACAGAGATGGGTTTCTCTTGGGACATAAATTCTACTTTACTTCCAATGCCAAGCATATCTGACCTGAGAGAGCTAGGGAAATAAAAGAAAGAACCCAGCTTTCTCCCAGGTCCAGAGCCAGGCTCTGGACATGCCCCAGCAAGAATGGGAGAGCTAAACAAGGACAGCTAGTGGTCATGGGGTCGGGTCCGGAGTCACATAGCCTGAGATGGAGTCCCATTTCTGGGATCACCTCTGGCTGTGCGACCTTGAATAATCCACTCCACCTCTCAGAACCTCGGTGTTCTCGCACTGTGAAAAGTGCCCATTTTACAGAGCTGTGTGGGACAGTGGTGGAGTTGCATCTGGTAGGTTGTGTCTCAAAACAAAGGCCGTGTAGATTTTCACCAGGCCCAGAGAGTGGGTCACAGGCTAGAAGTCTTGATAAGCTCCCTAAATGGCCTATAGATACTGTGGGATTTCTGCCTGTCACCAGCTGGTTCTCCACACAGAATCCTTTGAGAGGTGGATTCTCAAGTGTCAGGCCTAGGCCAGCACTGCGCTGTCCTGGGCCTACCTCACTCAGAGACCCCTGGTGGGGACAAACCTCCTGGCATAAAGTGAGGGGGTCCCACCTTTTCTGAGGTGCTGCTGTGTTCCAGGTACCAGGCTAAATGCTGACACACATGCAGTTACCCCAGCCTCACAAACAGACCAAGCCTCACCTCAGAAATGCCATTCCTTCACACAATCCATTCCTTCTGCCTGGAACGGTTACACCCCACTTCCCAGGCTCCACTCCTTTGGCCCTCAGGTCTTCACTCCGTCATCACTGTCCGGGAGGCCTGTTCTGACCAAGTGCCCCTTGTACACTCTCAGAGAACCCTGTCACTCCCTGGCTGCGTGACGTGGGGTAGCTCACGTTGCACTGCAGAGTCTGAGTTCCCCCACTGAAACGTGCCCATTTGACAGAGCCATGCAGGACAGTGGCTCTTAGCAGCATTCATCACAATTTGTACTTAAACAGTCTCATGTCTAAAGTCTGTCTCTCTCACTGGAATTGTAGGTCCATGGGCACAGGGGCCCATGCCTGCTCATTCACCGCCCTTCGCTCAGTGCCCAGTACAGCATTAGGCACAGGACAAGCACTCTATACATTTTGATCAAAAAATGTTGAAGGGATGATGATAATAACATGTTTTAAGCACTCACTTTGTGCCATATTCTGTGCTACACTCTTTATAAAAATACCTAATTTTATCTCTGTAACAACATGAGACCAGGATTAATCCACGTTAAGCTGAGGAAGCTGAGGCTCTGAGAAAATATGTGATTCACCTCAAGTCACAGAGCCAGGAGGGGCTGAAGCCAGGACTTGAACCATCGCCACAGGCCATGCTCTTAATCAGAATACTGCACTGAGGGATGGGCTCCTATGTGGAGATGTGAGGGGCAAGGAGGAGCAGCACTGGGGCGGGGACAGAAGCAGACCCTGCAAGGACAGAGGCCCAGGGCGTGTAACAGCCAATGCCTTTGAGCTGGCCCTCACGGGACGGGTGAGGCAGAGAGCCCTGGGAAAGTGCATCACCCTCCATACCCGGTGAGGCTCCACCAGAAAGTGGACGCTACACCAGAAACATCCACTACCTAAAATGCCTTTAAAAAAAAAAACAAAAACAAAAAAAAACTTTAGACTTTCACATGTCTTTGTGTTACTGATTACAAAACCAATACACGTTCATTAGAGAAAAATGAGAAAATCTAAAAACTTTATAAAGAAGCAAATTTCCACCCAGAGAGAACCACATCAGATTGTTACGTGTATGCTTTTTCTTTTTCTATGCGCTCTACACATACATTTCCCACACAACGAAAATCAAATAATATATTCACTTTTATTTCTTCTTTTGTTCACTTATGTTCTTATGTTCACACAATGTTATGCCATGGGTGTTTTCTCACATTATGAACTATTAATTGAAAAAGATTTTTTAAAATACTGGCATTTTCTGGTGCCAAAACTTTGTAGAACACGTATTTATCATAGAAGTATTGGCTAACACACCAGTAGGTTACACAAACAGGTCTGTGAACCAGGATGTGAACTTGGATGGCTAGTTTATAAAATCCGCCCTGGAGTGTGGAGTTTTGCAGGCAGGGTAGGTAGTAACACATCAGACTCTCACTAGGGGCTACGGCATGCTTTTCAAAAAAGCATGTCCATTACTAGGACTTAATTTCATATTTGGAAAACTAAAGAGAAAATCCTTTTTTCCATGATATGAAGTACAGAAATACAGTAGCATTTAACAGATCTTAGCTAGAGCGGTCTGGTTAGAGAAGCCTGAAAAGCACTTTTTCTTTCATTACTTATTAGGGTTAATGAGAATATTTTTATCACTAAAACAAAAACTTCCCAATACTTTAATGACTGCTTCTTTCTTCCCCTGATTTGTTATTCAGAGTGGTAGTCAGCATCTTTCAGAGACCTTATTCATTCATTTATTCATCCAATAAACAGTGAAGGTTCTTTGCCCAGCAATCTGCTATCTTTGCCCAGCAATCTGCTAAGCCCTGACCACATGGTGGTGGACAGACAGGCAAAGACTCCCATTCCAGCTGCAGAGACCACTGACGAGGAATTTACCAAAGCATAAAGACCTGTGTTACCTAAATGAAACACTGCTTTTGCTTCTTTTACCTAACGATGATATGTAGCATCATTACATATTTTTTCTATCACTAAAAATTATTCAAAAGTATTTTCTTGACCGTGACTGAAAACTGCTCGTTCTCTTTCCTATAAAATGAGGCCATCTCTTATAGAAACCTTACATCTTCAATGCTTATGCGCACCCCCCAGGCACTGGGCTCCGTGCTGCCTTCTTTCAGAGTCCGCATGTGTTGAAGAGCCAGGGTTCCCGTTGTGGCTTTGCCGCAGTTGCTGTGTGACCTCGGACACACTCCTTAACCCTTCTGTGCCTCACCTCCCTTCTTTGCTAACTGGCTGGCAGTAACAGAACATAACCTCACAGGCTGTATGAGGGCTGAGACAACACGTGAAAGGAGTTTTAAGCTTTAAGTAGCACCTGTCGCAAAAGGCCACAAATAACAAGCAAAAGCATTCACTTTTTCAGAGCTTCTGTTCTAGTTGGGAGGCTGACAATAAAGGGTTTTCCAATTTTCCAAAATGTGAAAATCTCTGGAATGGGGGGGAGGAAGGAGGGAGAAAAAAAGGGGGGAAGGAAGAAGGGAGGGAGAAAAAAGGGAGGAGGAAAGGAAAGAAAAAACGCAGGAAGGGCTGTATCAGCCCATCCCAAAGTCAAAAGGGTTATGGTTAATCAGATTCCGTGCACCTGCGGTTCAGTCAGTGCGCACGTGAACTTGAAAGGGGGAGAGGGTGCGGGGGTGGGGAGGGGTATCGAGGCCTCCGGGTGGCCGGGGATTCCCCGCCGGCGGCCCGCACCCTCACCGCTCCCCTTCTGCCCCGGCGCAGAGAGCGCGTTCGCCGACACGCTGACGCCCGCGCGCCTCGGCCAGGCCCGCTTCAGCGCCTGCCTGCCGCCCAGCAGCCACGACGCCGCCAACTTCGACAACAACGAGCTCGAGAACAACCAGGTGGTGGCCAAGCTGGGCCACCTGGCGCTGGGCCGCGCCCCGGGCCCGCCGCCCGCCGACGCGGCGGCCGCCGCCGCCATCCCGTGCGGGCCCCGCGAGCGCCCGCGGCCCGCGTCGTCGCCGGCGCTGCTCGAGGCTGACCTGCGCTTCCACGCAACGCGCGGACCCGACGTGAGCCTGTCCGCCGACCGCAAAGTGGCCTGCGCGCCGCGGCCCGACGGCGGCCGCACGCTCGTCTTCTCCGAGCGCCCGCTGCGACCCGGCGAGAGCCTCTTCGTGGAGGTGGGCCGCCCGGGGCTGGCGGCGCCAGGCGCGCTGGCCTTTGGCATCACTTCATGCGACCCGGGCGGGCTCCGGCCCGCCGAGCTGCCGGCCGACCCCGACGCGCTTCTCGACCGAAAGGAGTACTGGGTCGTGGCGCGCGCCGGGCCCGTACCGAACGGCGGCGACGCGCTCAGCTTCACGCTGCGGCCCGGCGGCGACGTGCTCCTGGGCATCAACGGGCGCCCGCGCGGCCGCCTGCTGTGCGTCGACACCACGCAGGCGCTCTGGGCCTTCTTCGCTGTGCGCGGCGGCGCCGCCGGCCAGCTGCGCCTCCTAGGTGAGTGCCCCGACCGCGCGTGCGCGGGGTTCACCGGGGACGGGGGGTGCAGACCCCGCTGCCCAGACCCCGCTGCCCAGACTTGAGCGCGCGTTAGCGCCCTCCCGCCTCCACGTAGAGTTTCTTGATTCAGTAAGGGCCGCCCCCGAAATGCAGTTGTAACGCGTGCGTGCGGATGTCCTTGTTGCTGCCGCCCAACCCCACCCCAGGTTCTGCACCGACGCAAGTTCCCGTCAGGGTCAGGGCCTGGGAGGCTTTATGCAGTCGGTAAATGGTCAGTACACTTTTTATTTCTGTTGCTCATTAGATCACGTATTTGTCTTTTACATATGTAATGCATATTAAGCGTAGGAGAAAACGTAGATACTATACTTAAAAGAGTATATAAGGCTAACCCTGCCCACGGAAAACGGAACGGAGGCTTGAACCATCTTATTTTGAAATGATTCTTGCCTTCATTCATGCCGCAAATGAACACGGAGCACCCACCAGCCGTGGGCCAGGTCCTGGGCTCCAGGATGGGGCTTGGCAGAGGACAGGACGCAGGCCATGCACGAGAGGCGCCTACAGACACCCCTAAATGGAGAGCTGCACCGTGTGATGTGCGCCACCGCCGAGGGACTTCTCTCCCACTTGGCCAAACGAGGATGGTGGTCAGGTTCCCAGAGAGCATAGCTCCGTTTTCATGATCCAAGAAGTAGGCCAAAACGGTAACAGAAACGATGAACATTTCATGTTACCTCGTTCAGTTTTACACCCCTGATGCTTCTTTGAAACCAAGATCATTATCCCATCTCCAGATGAGAAAATGGAAGCACAGATTAACTGACTCTCCCAGTCACATAGCTGGTCAGCCATGAAGATGCTGGGCTGACATGACAGACCTTCTCTGAGCCTCCCTTCCCTTCGGTGTAGAGAGGGAGTGGTCCCTGCATCCTGGCATTGTCGCAAGGATGAAATGATGGGGGGCATATAATGCTTTCACCTACAGCAAGGTTAGTGAGCAGTAATAACAATGACTGCTGTTTGCAGGCAGAGGGGGAACAAGGGAACAGTGGTCATCATTTGTTGGTTTTTTTAAGGGATGACCAGACAGAGCCATCATTTACCCTGAGATAAGTTGCCTAAGTTCCCCCTGGGGCTTTGGCAAGAACTAAGCTGAGAGTCCGTCTTTCTTAACCTCCTCCCTGGCACATTCAGAGGAAGCAGGATGAGCCCTTGAGTGGTCAGAAAGAGAAGGTAGAATGGAGGCCACTGCTTTTGGAGGCCCCTAGGGATTTGCCCTCCTGATTTCTCCCTGACAGCAGCCGCAGCACTGCATTATCTGTCCATCCATCCTCAGTTTGGGTAAGGGAAGGAACAACTCTCTCACCTAGAAAATAACCCATTATCATCTGAACCAGCTGTGAATGCAAGGAAGAAAACTCATTAGTGTTGAACCCTACTAGGCAGAAATTTTGTAGTTGCAAGTGACAAAACCCCACTCAAAGCGCCCTGTACTGTAAGGGAAGTGTATGGGTACACCTACCTCAGAAGTCTGGGAATGTATTGGATGGATTCGGGAACAGCTGGATGTAGGTGTTGGAAGCGTGCCATCGGGCTCCTATCCCAAAGCTCACTTTCCTGTGTTGGCTTCACTCTCAGGCAGGCTCTTCGGTGCCAGGCTTACCTCCCAGTGGATGGGTGCCTTCCTGCCCAACAGCCATAGTGTTTTAGTGAAGGCCCCTTTGACCTCAGTTGGGTTTTGTAGCCTTAATCGAACCATCATTGAGACCCAAGCGTGGAAGTTCTTATTGGCCTGGCCTGGATCATGTGAGTGAGGGTGAAGTAAGTGCCCCAAAACAAAATCCTGGTACTATTTCTGAAATAAACAGGAATGGAGGCTGGGCACGCAAAGAACAGGGGCCCACCGCACATGTATGATTCCATCAGTCCTCAGCAGAACCCTGGGAGGTAACTCTTATCCCTCCCCATTAGACAGATAGGGGTGCTAAGGTGCAAAAGAGTGAGGAGCCAGGGACTAGCAGAACAGCACCCGCCCCCCAGCCTCCCACCACCCCTGATGGAGTCTCTTTGGGTCTCAGGCACCCTGCAGTCCAGCCCTGCGACTACGTCTCCATCAGGGTCCCTCAGCGGCTCCCAGGAGGACAGCGATTCTGACATGGCCTTCAGTGTCAACCAGTCCTCCTCAGCATCTGAGTCATCCCTGGGTAAGGAGGTATAAGCCCTCGAGGGGGTAGGGACTGGCAGCCGGCCCAGCTCCTTCAGCTGGGCCAGAGCCTCCTTGGGCTAGGCAGGAGGGCCACCTTTCCCCCTGCATCCTCCCCTTCCTCTGCGGTATATTCACCTGGAGGGAGGAGAAGTCTAGATTCGGCATCCCAAAGGCTAATAACAGGGCCTGATGCCTGGGGGAAGGAAGGAAGGAATGGGAGCAAAGCCCAGAAGAAAAACCCCAACAGGGTGTCTCGCGAAATTGTTTCCCTACAAGTTCGCTCCTAGAAGCCCTGCCTTCCTGGGGCCACCCCGGCAGCGCCCACCTGAAAACCACATTATTAAGGTCTGTCCTGTTCTCCCTTCCTGCAGTGACGGCACCCAGCTCCCCGCTGAGCCCCCCAGTGTCTCCCGTGTTCTCCCCACCAGAGCCGGCAGGCAGCAAGAACAGCGAGTGCACGGTGTGCTTTGACGGTGAAGTGGACACAGTCATCTACACCTGTGGACATATGTGCCTGTGCCACGGCTGTGGCCTGCGCCTCAAGAGGCAGGCCCGGGCCTGCTGTCCCATCTGCCGGCGGCCCATCAAGGATGTCATTAAGATCTACAGGCCGTAGCCTGGCCCGCCCGCGGGCCTTGGCCAGAGCAAGGTCACCTTTCTGAAGGCCCCCTGGGCCAGGCAACCACCATGGCCGCCAAGGAATCCAAGGGCAGTGGCCGTCCCATCGTCTGCCTCTCTCCAGTGGTGGGCAAGACGCGACAGTCATGGAGCTGAGGCCCTGGGGGTCTGAGCCCAGACAGGGGCTGCTTCTGGCTCAAAAGTGCTTTGCCCCCTAAAAGGCCGTCCCAAGAGCAAGCTCAGGAACTGCCTAGCAGCCCACTCTGTCCCTCGACGCCCTCTCAGCTGGGAAGCAGCATTCTCTGTGCAATGCTTTTTGCTGGGGTTGGGTTGAGTGTGTGTCGGGAGCGGGGGAGGGGAGGGGAGTGGACAGAGGAGAGGGGGTATGTGTGCGAGAACGAGAGAGAGAGAACGTGTAGGTAATTTATCCAAGGATCCTGGCTCCAGAAGGTTATTTAACACTAAGCAATGTGGAATCCAGAGCCCAGACAGTGCGTGACTAGAAACCGTTCGCTTTCTGGGGAGGCCACGTCAGCTGGTTTTGAATGTATGAAGCCTGCACCTAAACAGAACTCCCTTGGATGATATAGAAAAGGGACGCTCAGATTTTCTAAAGGAAGGCAAAAATAGCTCATTGTTTACAGCTCCAAAGCAGCAACGCCTTGGGGGAAAGGTGGGTGGAGAACATAAAAGAACAATTTGCTTTTTTAGTTTCTTGCTCAGTGCTGGAGGGGAGTTTTGAGGGGTGCTGCGGCCCCACCAAGAGCTCTGGGAGGTGTCACCCCCAGAAGCGCTTTCACCCCCTTCACCCCCGACAGCCTAATAATAAGCACAGTGCACCTTGACTAGGTCCCTAGATGATTTTCATCTGTACCACCCCTTGCTGCCCCAAGGAGGAGACAGGCAGCCGGTTCTCTTTGCCCCGGGGTGTGGGGGGGGGGGGAGGGAAGCAATCCTGGAGGCAGAGGACTCACCTGGAGTTGGAAAGGCCACTCCGTCTCCCTCCCAGACAGCCCTCCACCTTTCCCACTGTAACGCCCTGGCCTGGCATTCACCAGCAGCCGTGGGGCATCACCAGGGCAACCTGCTGGTGAAGCGGGAGGAGGAAAAGACTTTGCAGCCCATTCTGACGCTCACCTTCTCTTTTGCTGCTGATTACTAAGATGTTAATTGATCATTAAGATGTTAACTAATAGCTTAGATATTAAAATGCTGACGTCGGGACTCCCCCCTCCTTCCCAGGGCTATTTGCAGGCATTTCCTGGGGCCTGGCCCTGGCCCTCGCCCTCCTCACCCCTGCCTCGGCCCATCTCTGTAGACTCCCAGGCCATCTCTGAGCTGAAGGGCCAGCCCAGGCCCCGCTCTTTCCTTCTTGTCCCCGGCTCTGGGCCCAACCTCTGCCTGGTCTTGTGCTGTATCTTGAGGGAAGCCCCTGGGCCTCTCTGATTCTCAGTTACCAGTCTGTCCAAGATGAAGCCCAGACCACTGCAAGACACCCTACAAAGGACGCGTATCATTTTTGTTCTAATCCCTAATCTGTTCCTCTGCCGATCCGACGATGGCAGGGAAAGGACATTCAGAGGGTTAGTGCGTTCCCATAACACGTTTGCTGCGGCTCCAGGGACCCAGAGCCCATCCCAGTTGAGCCCTTGGCAAATCAAACCCTATAAAACCCGTTGGTCTTTGTGATACTCTAGGTCTTGGGGCAGCTGCGTCTCTGCCTGGAAGTGGCCATAGTGTTCTGACCCAGCCTCAACTTCAGAACCCGCACTCTTACTCCTGCAAGAACCCATGATGGGTTGTTTTCCCCAGTGAATCTGGGAAACTGGCCCACATTTCAGTCTTGTGATGAGAGAGATTTTGGGGAGCTCCTGGAACCCCAGCGTTTGCAAGGATTAAGAGCTGGAGAAGCAAGGCAGCACTCCGTGGCCCCGCTGAATGTGGCCAGCGGGGGCCTTCCATTTCCCCCACGGGCGATAAGGGCACAGGCCTTGTGGGAGGCGACTCGTGACCTCCCCCTCCCCAGACTGGTTCTCCAGGCAGCAGTGCCCCTGCCTGGATCGAGCCATTCACAAGCTCTGGTGGTCTCAGCAGCTAGCGGGAGGCAACTCGCCTTTCCTACCCCTTGCCTTTCCTGCCTGCCCCGCCTGGGCTCTGGCCAGGGTCATGTACAGCCACCATCAGGAAACCAGTGGCTGAGGGCCCGGACCTGAGGTGGAGCAGGCCACGCTCCCGGTGACCTGTTACCTGGGACAAAAGGAGAGCTGGTGGCCTGTTTAACTCGCTCCGCAGCTGCTATAAATAGCCTCCCTGTTTCCAAGAGGAATTAAGGGGGTGTTTATCTTCTAAAAACCAGACATTTCCTGATGCTCTAAACTGATTTATTCAGTGCTCTAAAGGAGCTAGCTGCTCACATGGCCCTCACGTGGCGGGAGAAAGAGGAAAGGGAACCCCTCTTTTTTATGTCACATCATTATGTGCCTTGGCATTGGGCTAGAGAGGCGTCTTCATGCATTAGTCCTGTGAGGCAGGCCTTAGTATCGAAAACACCACTGATTATAAAATACACCATTTTATATACTGCTAAGAGGGGAAAAGGCTGCCAATTTTAACTGCAAGATGCCACAGCTGTACAATTCATTCTAATCGGAGACTTGAAATGTGGGAAAACTGCGCAGCTTAGGACTGATGGAACACGGGGTTATCCCCATCTCACGGGTAAGAGAACCAAGGCCCTGTGAATGAAGTGACTTAAGATCAAACGCACTAGGTGACAGGGCTGGGATTCAAACCCGGGAGTGCCTGGTGCTGACTCCCACACTCTCCACTGCCTGGCCCCAAGCCCCAGAAAGCTTGAGACTGCCTTGAGTTTTCCTGAAACTTCTCTGGGCAGTCCCTGGGGAGAGCCTGCACCTGTATGGAGAGTTCTAGCCCTAGGCTGTGGTCCCTCTGCCACCCATTCCCTGGAAGGTCAAGTGGCCTGCCTTTCAGGCTCATCGTCCCACTGCCCACCTGCTCCTGGCAGAGCTGAGCTGTGTGAGGTCCTGAGTCCAACCTGAAGGCCGCCTTTTGTTACACAGGAGCGCACCTGTGGGGCAACTTGGGGAAGCAGGGGAGCGCCTGGTCCCGCCACCGTCCTGGGCCTCAGCACCCAACCCCCCGCAAGAAGGGATTCCAGGGGTAAGAAGAAGGGAGACCACAACCTCCCTTGTTGTGGTCTTGTGGCTGTTTTGAACCATCAGAGAAACTGGGCTGTTTGCAAGTCAAAACAACCTTTTTCTAGTCCGTGCCCAGAACTGGGAGTCTTCTGGGATTTAGCTACACGGGACAGCTGCTCCTCTAAGTGCAGCAACACTTTGCTCAACACCCACTCATCAGCACGGCCTCTTCTGGAGCCGGTGTTGGGAATTGAGACTAAAGACAAAGCCTGCAGGAAGCTAATGGTCCAGAGCAGGAGATGGACAGATTTGTAAACTTTGAGTTGATCCCCCTGGTGTTGGGTCCGATGCTAGCGTGTAGTAGGTACGCATTAAAGGTTACTGAAGAAATCAGAAATCAAGTTATGAGTGCTCAGGGGTTGGTAAAACATCACATACACACACACACACACACACACACACACACTCACACACGAAGTCATTCAACAAACATCTGCTGAGTGCCTACAAGGTATGGGGTGCAGGGAATGAAGAGCTAAGAGGACAGAGCCCTATCTCTGCCTTCAGAAGGAGAGACGTTAACAGGATAATGAGACACTGGGGATAGGATCCTTTGGGGTTTCTTGGCCATCCTGTCGCCTTTGGGGATCTATCTTGGTGCATGCCCACAACTGCTCTCCTGACCCAGAGCCTTCCGCATGCTTCAAGAAGCCTCTTCTGCATTAAAAATGCCAGGCACCTTGCAGTCAGTGAGCTGCCGCCAAAATGGCCTTGGGCAGAACCTTCAAAGTCTCTACTGCTTGATGCCCTCAAGTCCTGCCAGGGAGACACGTGGGGAGATGTCTACCTGCTACTTTGAGGCTTGGGACCAGTTGCTGGAATCAGTCCCCAAGTCCCAGAGAACCCCATCAGTTTCAGTTGAGAATGGGCTTGCACAAAATCTTGGAGAATGAGAGGCAGTAGCCTCCCCCTGCTCGATCCCGTCTCTGCCCCAGTTCTGGCAGAGGGACGCGCGCTCAGGAACACGTGGCCTCCTGGCACTTCTCAGTATTTAACTGTCTTGTCTTTTCCAAGCCCGTAATGATATGACTTGTACAACAATCTGTCTGTGCCTTATGAAAGTGTCTGTGCACTTTTTATCCTTTTTAAAAGCAACTTTAAAAAGTGGGCTGGGGACTAGCATACACGGTAGTGTTCTAGAAATATGTGCTAATCACTTAAACCCTTCTGCATTACGTTTTTGATGTAGGAGTGATAAAGTGTACGTCTCTCATCCCATCCCCCCACTACCTGTGTACAGACCTTTTTAAAAATGTCTCTTATTCTTATTTTTCTGATTCAATACTGTGACTTCTCTAATACAATCTAATCTTTGGGGATCTGTAATAAAGGTTTTAAAACTTGGGGAGGGGAGTGGGTTGGGAAGGGTTTGCACTGGTCCTGTGTGTTGTGCTTTGCGTGTTGTGTGTTTTGGTTTTTGTCTATTTTTATCTGTTTTATATTAACATAATTTTTCTGTTTAAAAAACAAATACAACTTTGGCTTGTTAAAAAACAGTTTCTTCAGAACTCAATTTTATTTTATTTTTTTTTTAAATATTTTTATTTATTTCTAGGAGAGAGAGAGAGAGAGACAGCGTGAGCAGGGGAGGGTCAGAGAGAGAGGGAGATACAGACTCTGAAATAGGCTCCAGGCTCTGAGCTGGCAGTCAGCACAGAGCCCGACGCGGGGCTCGAACCCACGAACGGCGAGATCATGACCTAAGCGAAAGTCGGACGCTTAATAGACTAAGCCACCCAGGCTCCCCAAAAACTCAATTTTAAAAATCACAACTGCACATACTGTTGGGGAGTGAAGACGAGGCCTACAAAGCATTGCCAGCCCTGAGGAAACAATTTACACAATGTCCAGAGTCCTGATAATGTTTGATCCTTTTGTCACCTAATTTTGTGAAACTATCACACAGAAAGAGCTCTGTATGTAAAGATATTCATTGCAGCAATACTTATTAAAAAACTGTTTTAATGTTTATTCAGTTTTGAAAGACAGAGCATGAGCAGGGAAGGGGCAGAGAGAGAGGGAAACACAGCATCCGGAGCAGGCTGCAGGCTCTGAGCTGTCAGCACACAGTCCGATATGGGGCTCGAGCCGACAACCGTGAGATCATGACTTGAGCCCAAGTCAGGTGCTTAACGGACTGAGGCACCCAGGCGCCCCAACAGTA